CACACACACACACGCACATTAGCACCCCATGGGTCTACAAGAAATGGGGAATCCAGAATTATATCACATTACTTTGAAAGTAGGCTGCAGCACAGTGCGGACAATGTTCAGGACCATGTTAAGGTGTCACGCGGTCCCAGTTTTAAAGTAATAGAATACAGTCTGAGTTGAGCCCAGAACGTAGCGACTGCATAGAACAAACAGAATGTAAGAGCTGTAAATAAAGAATGACAGTTCGCAGATCACAGAGCTCCACTAATTTCTTCTTTGAGAGAGTAGACTCCTGGAAACTAGGCCATGGTTATGTCGCTTCTCCAGCCTAATCACATGTTGCATGCCATCTGTCAACTTTGTTTTACTGACAGAGACCTAGCAGAGCTCTTTGGTTGCAGATCAGTTGAAGATATGTATACAAAAGTATATTTCCATTCTTAGCCAATAATGAACATTGGCTCACCTGCTAAAATGAATAAGTAACAGAATCTAACAGAAAACTGCGGCTCCAGGTCAACTCTCCAAATCACCATTCTGCTCCCGACATACGTAAAATGTATATTTAAGGGTAAACGTGGTTGTTTAAACATATTTTGTTTTATAATAAAACAAACTCAATATAATAAATCAGACATGTCTTATAAGCATAATCATGTGTCCTTTCACTATAGGACCATGCAACATTAACACTCAACATCCACTAAGAACAAACAAGAACAACGTACACTAGTTTTAACTTCACAAACAACTCCAGAACAAAACCTACACTATCCCAGCTTACACTTTCCAAAATGTCAAAGATGGAAAGAATCCAACTCTGTATCAAGCATTATGCCAGCTGTATAGGCAAGAGAAATATCTGCAGATCTGCATAGTGCACAACATCATCTCCAAAGGGTGCTGGATAAGCCACAGAACATGAAGAGGCTTTCAGGTCTGAACTCTACAATGTGGCAGATCCAGTCATAACTTGGAACCCCTAGAAGACTTGTTCAGTGTAGGAGTTCCACAATTACAACATGTTGTAACCATAAACTGTGTGACAGTGTAAACAATGGGACTGGGGCCAATTTTTTCCTTTTCTATTTTGTCACTCTGTACATGCCACATTTGGTTGTGCCTGGGAGAATGGCACAGTGGCACAATTAAGGACAGGCTGCAACACCACTGAATCTCTGAGAAATGTCTACCTGTATATGTCTAGCCTGGGTCTGCCCAACCTAAATGAAAACAAATATCGATTACAGAGTAGCTTACTCTGTAATTGGCCAAAGTATACTATGATTTACACATGTCATTAAAAAAAAAAAAAACATTAACTCAAAAAAGTATGACAACATCTCCCCCAATGGATTACTCTCAGGTGAAAATAAGCAAATATACTATTTCCCCAATTTGTGAGAATACATTTGTTCATGTTCTTAGAAAATCCACTGCACTGTAGTTTATATTCTAATAAAACAAAAAGGAACATAAACCATTCCTCTAATCAATCAGGTGGCCTTGTGAAATGATGCTCTACCCAATCCAGGCAGGGTTATTTCCATTAGAAAGGCCACACCGGTACTGAAATGATACTGTGCACTATCCAGGTAGGGTCATTACATGGGTTCACGTGGTAATCCAGTATAAATACTGGCATTCCTCTACGGAGAAAACTAACTTCAGGAAAGTTCATCTAATACTTATTTCAAGAATCAAAATATTGGGAATAAATACAAAAATATGGCTTAGATAAACATGGCAAGCCATGAACATGGCCAGCCAGCTTTGCTGGACTATATCTCTCATGAACCTCGACTCTTAATTGCATGCAGATAAACAATAAACCTCAATATGTAAAGCCTGCGTCTAATGTGTTTAATCCAAAATGTACTCCATAAACAGTGAGTCGAGTGTGGAACAGCCATGACAACATAAGGAATTTCTCATACTTTGAATTTACTAGAATCTGAAAAGTAATTTCTATTGTATCTCCATTTGGAGCACTTTTCCACTTCTTATACACGTCAATCAACACGCACAAAGTTTAACATTCTCTGATGTGAACATAGAAAGAATTAGACTAAGATAGAGAAAACACATACAAGATCATACACTCCATTTATAAATCTGAAAGAATAATGATGTACATTTGTGATGTGTCAATTTGTTTTTACATAAATTGCTTCCAGGATTATTGTCATAGCCGTCTTTTTACTACACATAAGTACCTGTGGTGTTTACCGACACACAGACTGATATGAGGTCATGCACATTGCGTCATCGACACAATTCACTTTGTGAAACGCATACACCGCTTCATAATAAACCAGATACTTGTGATTACCAGTACCAGAGATTACAGACTGGGCATTTACACTATTGTGTGAGGCTCGCCAGTGCTTCAAACATACAGAATTTGCTGAAGTTCCAGAAATGAGACCTCAAACAACCTCCAATTATCATGTGGGAATATAAAAAAGGAATCCTTTCATCACTAAAAAATTTTTTAGAAAAATCTACAAATTAAAAACGTTATAAAATAATGTAATGTTTGAACTAGATGTTCGGAGAGCAAGTGGAGTTGTAGTAGAAGCCCATTCTGATGTCATTTGTGGCTATGGAAGTATTCAAGGTAAGGATACAACAATTGTCCTCACTTATATTGTAAAAGAAAATTCTGCCATTTGAGCGTACCTAAACCCAAAAACAAGAATTGATTATATTGCAGCTATCCAGACTTTTTTCCCACTTTACTTTCACCTGGCAATCCTGAGAGTGACAAACTTCCTGTCCCCGGATGGCTGCTCCCTCTCCCACTATATCTATGGAGGAAGCCATGGCTGTCACACAGGCTAGATTTTACATATATCTGTCTTTGCAGATCTCCATTAAATAGGGGGTGATACGATTAGAAGTTACGCAATACTTTGTTTTGCCAGTTTATCTCGCAGGACATGAAGAAACATTTCTGTGAATCATTATCCTTTGATTTATAACCAGGACGTGACGAAAAAGGAAGCAACACTGCATTTTGGCAAGATCAAGGGGTATTTTCTGTATTTGCTAACAATGTTATTAGCCTGAAAAAACTAGTGCAGCCACATTTAAGGTCTGCCAAGATGCAATAGATTAATTTTTTTGTATTAGGTTTAGTTATCATTTAAGCTAATGAGGCTCCAGCCCATTAAAAGAAGTTATTCTTGCCATCATTCCTCCGTTCTTAGTTTATGTGGTACACCTTTGGCATGGTACATTCTGCACAACTGGCTCAACACTGACAGTTGAATGAAGCAAACGATATTTTCCTCTATTTAACAAAAGCCTGCATTGACAAAAGTGTAGGAGCTGCAACTACAGGCTTTTGTGAATGTTTGCTTCCTGACTGTTATGTTCATCCTATGGCTTAAAGTCACACTAAACTCAGGAGTTAATTTTGAAGAAGCATTCAACTACCCTAACTACTAACAAAAAAATGATCTTGTGTGTATCACTCAGCTGTAGATCCTCAAATCATCTCTGAATTGGTGCCGACACTGTCCTTCCTTCTGGAGGGTGGCTACTTTTGTTCCCCATGGTCCGTGTGTTTGTTGTAACGTAGCCACCGCTCCAAGATCACTCTTGTAATGGACTAGAACTTCAATACAAATTAGTAAACTAAACGTGAGATTGTAGTCCATCACAGGAGCGAGCTAGGAGCGGTGACTACTATACAACACACACAGGGACCATGGGGAACAAAAGTAATCACCCTCCAGAAGGAAGGACAGTGTCATCACCAATTCAGAGATGATTTGAGGATCTACAGCTGAGTGATACACAAATAAGATACATTTTTAGTAATAGTTAAGGTACTTGAATGTAATTTTAAGATTTAACTCCTGCGTTTAGCGTCACTTTAATTACACTGTAAGTAACTGAAGTGAAGTCTTGGTATGGATCACGGACCCAATAAATAGTAAGGCTACAGAGTGACCATGACGGCCAGGATACTAGTAACTGCTGCTACTTTAGTCATGACAGGTTTACTTCTAGCAGTAAACATGTAAATGGGCTCATTCAAATGTGCTGTAGCCCTAAACACATCACATCACAAATCACTGTTGGATGATCAGCTTCAGTAAACTGAAATGTGATTGGCTGCTATGGGTTTATGAAGCTTGCATATTAACACTCCTCCCTCTGTGCTCCACCATACTGAATAAAAACACTGGCGTTCACCTAGTTCACCTTTACCCAGAGATGTCTGTAAGCAGTTGTTGTTTTCCTTAGTACCACAGTGAATTTAACTATTGGGGGATAATGCACAAATACAGATTATAGTAAGGTTACATTGGGGAAAAAAACCCTGCAAGCACTGGAAACCAAGACCTTGCTTGTCATGTTCCTAACATTCTAATGGACTGCAATCATATAGCATCAAATGTTATATTGGTGAAGCCACACTGCACTGCTAGAAATTGCAGTCCATTAATTGTCAGCTGATGAAGAGATGCAACTTATACTACATTTAATATTGGACTGCCTATACACATAGCCTTTGAAATGCAAAAAAAAACAAAACAACTTCCAATGGAGAGGAATCGCATCAATTCAGTTTACATGCAGCAACCAAAAAGGTCAAATCAACACAATAAAATAAAGCATTGTGAACTTCAGAGCAATCACAGATGATGAACTGTACAGAGGGGAGTTGTACGTTTACACAGATGTACATTCAGCTGAACTCTCTCCTATCGAAGAGCTTTTCAAGATAGAGCTGGGAAAATCACTTTGGCAGAGAAAGCCAAGCAAACAGTACACCATTGCCGTTAATGAAACGTACATTGTTTCTAGAGAACCCCAGAATTGGCACTTTAGTCTGCAGTTCACCACTGCGTGTTCAGGCACACTTAACATATGCATATTTCATGTTAAAAGGATGTGTTAGAATAGAAAAACTAGATTATCTAAAATGAAAATCTAATAAAGCCAAGAATTGTGCAGTAAAAAGAAAAACATGCACCCCACAAAATGTAAAAAAAATTAAATAAAATCGTTATTATGAAAGAAATACATACACGATATCTGTCATATCAGGACTAGACAAGAGCACCACCTAGTGGACAAATTGCCCACGGCAATGAAATGCTTAGTTCCAGGGTTGGTAAAGATATGAACATTGTCAACTTTGGAGGAAGTCTACAGAGAATTTTAAAACATGGATACGAATTGAAAGTCTTAAATCTTTCTGAAATATACTGGCACATATACAGAGCAGCTGATGAACAATTCAAAGGCATGTGCTCTATCCAATTATTCCTGAGGATACCGCCAGCCAGTGTAACCAAGTCAGTTACATTCAACATACAGCTATTTTCAAGTATGTTAACATGTTGAATGTCAGCAGAGACTGAACCATATTGCTCAGAAAGTGTTAGTCTGACAGTTTAGGAATCCAGCAGCTTGTGTAGATAGCAGCCTGCTAAATACCTAGGGGCGGAAAAAAGGAGAGAACTCATACCTTTGTAGAGTACTACAAGTTTATGAACGGCTGCGGATTCCCTGCTAGGCTTGTACCTATTAACAGTACAGTAGTGTGAAAAAATATTTAAACCAGTATTTTCTAAATAAATTACAGTACCAATGATCTTTTTTTCGTTTAAACCTCTATCTACATTTTTACTGTATGTTCAAGCGGTGTGGAAAGTCAGTGATATAATTTACATAAAACTATTTTACAGTTATTTAAGACGCAAGTCATTTTCTATAAAATAATAACAATAAAAAATAAAATAAAAAAAAAAACGCTTCAGCTATTGAGAATCCTCTTGACAGTTTGTTTGTTCTTCGATAACCTGCTTTACAATCTCAGCAAGTTTCAGACGATCGACTTTGTCTGTAAATCCTTGTCCTGAAAAAGAAAACGAAGAGTATTACTACAAGAATAACATTTGGCAGACATCTATCACCTTTCGCCCTTATTCATACCATAGTGTTTTGTAGTTAAATGCTCAAACCTCCAAAATCCCATGCTTTGGTGCCTGTTCACATGTGAGTGTTCAGGCGCCTATAGCTCGATGCCTAAAGCTCAGAAACGTACATGAGCTGCTTTTAAAGGCGCATAGGGTGCTTTTGGCCCCATAAACTTCAATGGAAAGCCCATAAAATGAGTATTTTTTCAAGGCTAAACAAACACCTCCTTTTCCTAGCACTTACCTTTTCATTGGCTAAAACAAAAATGAATGTTCAAATGTAAATGCCGCCTAAAGGCGATCAATCCTGATTTACTACAAATAAGAGTCTTTCACAGATTTCATGAAAATCCACAATACACTTATGAGAAAACTTCTTTTTTTATGCAACCAATCCATTAGTTGAAAAAATAAATCGGGCAACTAATCGATTATGAAAAAAATCGCTAGTTGCAGCCCTGCATATTATATATTGTTTTTTAGAGGACAGATAGGTCTATATATTTATATCACACATATGTGTGCCTAACACTTCAATTAGTGCAAATAAAATATATTTTTTTTAAAAGGAGGAAAGAAAAAACTTTTCCCCCAGTTTGGATTAATATTTATGTATGTCTAAAAGAATAGCAGAGCTAAAAAAAAACGCATTAAAAGAAACTAATGTATTTGTCCTTTATTTGGAAACACCTCACAACCCTAGGATTTCAGAACATGTTCTGTACTTTTCAGCCGAAAACTAAAAGCTAACATTTTTTTTTTCTCTAAAAGCCGATAATGGTTAGGTGGCATACAATGTGTCACACTTCGTGACAGCAACATATTTTGAACATTTCTGTCATAAGGGGGTTAAACAAAAAAAATTCGGCAGCAACTCAATGCATTTAGGCATCTAGACGTGGTGAAGGCGACTTGCTGAATTTCAAACAGAGCATCAGGATAGGGAAGAAGGGGGCTTTAAGTGACTTTGAATGTAACATGATTGTTGGTGTCAGGCGGGTTGGTCTGAGTATTTTAAAAACTGCTGCTCTACTGGGATTTTCACACACAACCATCTCTAGGGTTTACAGAGAATGGTCTGAAAAAGAGAAAATATCCAGTGAGCGGCAGTTGTGTGGACGAAAATGCCTTGTTGATGTCAGAGGAGAAAGGGCAGACTGGTTCGAGATTATAGAAAGGCAACAATAACTCAAATAACCACTCGTTGCAACCAAGGTATGCAGAATACCATCTCTGACCGCACAACACGTCGAACCTTGAAATCAGATGGGCTACAGCAGCAGCAGACCACAGCGGGTGCCACTCTAGTCAGCTAAGAACAGGAAACAGAGGCTACAATTTGCATAGGCTCACCAACATTGGACAATAGTGTAGAAGATTGGAAAAACGTTGCCTGGTCTGATGAGTCTCGATTTCAGCTGTGACATTTAGATCGTAAAAGGTCAGAATTTGGTGTAAACAACATGAAACTATGGATCCATCCTGCCTTGTATCAACGGTTCAGACTGGTGGTGTAAAGGTGTGGGGGATATTTTCTTGATACACTTTGGGCCCCTTAGTACCAATTGAGTATCGTTTAACCGCCACGGCCTGAGTATTGTTGCTGACCATGTCCATCCCTTTATGAATACAGTGTACCCATCTTCTGATGGCTACTTCCCACAGGATAATGCACCATGTCACAAAGCTCACATCATCTGAAACTGGTTTCTTGAACATGACAATGCGTTTTCTGTACTCAATTGGCCTCCACAGTAAGCAGATTTCAATCCAATAGAGCACCTTTGGGATGTGGTAGAATGGGAAATTCGCATCATGGATGTGCAGCCGACAAATCTGCAGCAACTGCGTAATGCGATTATGTCAATATGGGCCAAAATCTCTGAGGAATGTTTCCAACACATTGTTGAATATATGCCACAAAGAATAAAAGGCAGTTCTGAAGGCAAAAGGGGGTCCAACCCAGTACTAGCAAGGTGTACCTAATAAAGGGGCTGGTGTGTGTAACTACAGGTGAAACTCGAATAATTAGAATATCGTGCAAAGTTAATTTATTTCACTAATGCAACTTAAAAGGTGAAACTAATATACGAGATAGACTCATTACATGCAAAGCAAGATAGTTCAAGATAATTCAAGCCGTGATTTGTCATAATTGTGATGATTATGGCTTACAGCTCATGAAAACCCCAAGAACCCCAAATCCACAACCTCAAAAAAGTAGATTATTACATGCAATCAATAAAACAAGAATTGTACATAGAACAATATCGGACCTCTGAAAAGTACAAGCATGCATATGTACTCAGTACTTGGTTTGGGCCCCTTTTGCAACACTTACTGCAATTACTTTTGCACGATATTCTAATTATTCGAGTTTCACCTGTGTGTGTGTATATATACATATATAACACTATTTTGTTTACACTGTTTTTGTATGCAGTCATTGTGAATGGATCTCACTATGACTGCTTGATAATTTAAATACTTTTAAAAAATGTTTGGTTATTATTAGGCTGCTCAGAACTTAGGAACAGCTATTAATAACCTTAGTGAAACTGATCCTTACATGCTGATCCATCCTGCAATATGTCAGGATCAGTGTCACTAAAGTCTTCTGATCGTTCCCAGAATGATCACGAAGCTGCTGCAATGTTTTAGAATAGAAACATTTTGCTAAATGTATCTTCTGAAATATGTAGCAAAAATCCTGTAGACATTGGGATTTAATTCCGGTGTGTACAGCTGTCAAACAGTGACAGTAAGTGCAAAATACTGCACTGCTATCACTATCAGACACCTGATCGCTTAAAGGGATGGGGTGTCTGTTAAAGCTTAATTCCTTAATGGATGCCTCAATACTGGGGCATCCATTAATGAACAGTAACAACTGATCTCAGTGGTTACCGTCATTTCAAAGCCCTAAATAGCAGCTCACGTACAGTGTACATGAGCAGTCATTTGGGCACTTAATGGCGGGGACGCACGGTATATGTTTCCAGTCACTAAGGGCTTAAGAGTCTAAAAGGGCCTGACCCTTCACATGACTTCAGTGTTTTCCCAAACACTAGAAATAAAAATCCATATAGATACAATACAATGTTACAAAAATGTTTAGGAGGGAGAAAATGTTCTACCTACTTTTACAAAAAAAAAAAAATCCACAAAAAGGGTAGCCAGTAAGTACAATTCTGTCTTTGCTGATGGGGAGAGCTTAAGTGCACCTTTGTTATCCGAGGATGGTCAAATCAAACCCACACGAGAACAAAGACTAATTGGAAATACAATTAGGTAACTGAATTTAATGGAGCTTAACATTATCACAGAGCCATGGAACAGGAAAGACTTTGTCTCCTCCTCTCCTAAATGTAAGCTGGGACAATCTATAAAAATGGTTCTGTCACTGGAGAGATCTGTACATGCTAAAAGAGATTTTCAATAAAAAAAAAGAAAAATTGGAGGTGGCCAGTGTCCACACTCCCACAAACCTCTACTGAACAGCACAATTCTGTCCACTCGCCTTTACAATTATAACTAAGCTTAAGTCAAACCCCTTTACAGTGGCTGCCAATCTTGCCTTGCTGTTCAGGTTTTTAATCCCACCCAAGACAATTTTTGAGTTGCTTGAAAAGTTCTTCTATTGTGGATTTTTGCCAGATGCTGTGACTTTCTTATCTCAAAGTGGCCCTACAGTGCGTGGCATAATTGTGAAAAGACATTAGATTGTGAACTCCTTGGAGAGACAGGAACTTCTGTAGATGATTCTAGGTACTCTGTTAATTGTTATGTGAGCATTGTATAAGTCTGGGAGATAATATACATTGGGTTTCTGCCCATCTCTAGATATCAATGTATGTTATAAATGTGTTGCAATATCAGATATTACCAGTAGGTGGTGTTTTAGGTGAAATCAAAAAGGACAAGATACAAAATGTTAGATTAACTGTAAATCCTCATAAATTTGTTTGAATTGCTTAGATGTCTTGGGAACACTGTTGCAATCTGCACAAGCATACAGACAAACAGACCTCCCGAATAAAAGTGACCTAAAAAAATAATAGAGGTTCACTGGTACTTGCAGGTGCTGAATGATCAGGCCAGGTGTGACACAGCTATTTCATCAGACTCCAAGTCTTCAGCTGGTTTACTAGAACTAGGGTCTGCGTAAACATGCTGAGGGCTTACCAAGTCACTGCGATTCATGAAGAATGAATTACTAAGCCAAATTTATCAGTGGCATTGTTCTGCGAGCCTATACACAACCACTAAGGCAAGTACTTTTTAATACATGTGTTTTTAGTGGAAAATACTGCTTCTAGCATTTCAGTACCAGTACTAGGAAAAAAGGCTTACTTGTTTATGCAAATAACATAATGATTATTAACCTACATGTATTCATAGCAATTATTTGTTGTATTACACAAAAGATTAGGGGGAAAAAAAAAATCTTATTTTTTCCCCCCTAATATGTGAGGATGGAAGATAAAACACTCATTTTTAGAAAAGGCACTGGACGTTCATAAAGTATTTTTATGGAGAACACTTCTAGTAAAAGAAATGCGATTGAGATGTGTACATGTGTGAGATCACAGCACAGATTGATTACACCCTGAAGTTGCTTGGCCTAGCTAAAGGTGCCCATAAACCTTACAATCTATCTGCTGATTTTCTGTGGTCAGATGGAAAAAGTGCAACAGATTGGCCCAGGTGGAGATTACTCCATCCACACAGTTAAGTGTAGATGGAGGAATCTGTTGCACCTTTTCCATCTGACCATAGACAATCTGCAGATAAATTGTAAGGTGTATGGCCAGCTTAAGTGTAGCCAACACATATAGGTCAGAATTATAGAAGTTATCCTTAACCCCTTCATGACCGAGGTCTTTTTTTAAATTACATTTAATATTAATTTGAGAAACTGTTTTTAGCTTTACTTCAATTGCCATCATACTTTAATTGCTATTACATAGGGGGGCATACAAGCCCCCCATGTGATAGCATATTGTCAGTGATGGGTACTCTAAGGTGATACTGGGGGTCCCTTTTACCACCTTTACACTTGAAATAAGCTTTTAAAGTGCAGGTCACACTTTAATAGCTTATTAATAGCAATGACTGCTATGGGACTGGAAGTGATGTAATCTGCATCGCTCCTGGTCCCATACTAAGGGGAGGGGATCGGTGAATGGACGTTCACCAATCTCCTCCCCACCTTCTCCCCCGAGACCAGAGAAGCTGGTCCCGGGCCCATAGGAGGGACAGGGGAGCCCAGAAAACACGGCGGGGGTGTCGGTCCGGGGGGCCCGTAGAAGCGATCTGGCGGCAGCTGAGCCGCCAGATCGCTTCTACTGTAAAGCCGATAGTCGGCTTTACAAATGTAAACAGAGTCCCGGCGGCTTACACTGTACGTCACTGATCATGAAGGGGTTAAAGTTAACCAGGCAGGGTGGTTAAGTGCTGTGGTTGTGTTGCTGGCAAGCACTTGTGTTAGTATTTAAATCTATGAAGTCCCCATGGATCCTAGACCCAGGAAGTACTGCCCACTATGATTCAAGAGCTAAATGCCTAGGACTTCAGTGAGCAGAAGTATCCGACACTTGAATGACGGGGTAGAGATTAGCATTAGGGCATGGCTTAATCTCAACTTCAAAGGGTAGAATTTGAAGACCCATGTACAGCCTGGGAGTAGAATTCAGGAGGACTCTAGTGATCAATATGCAGACTAACACAAAATACCTGCATGCACTTTAGAAACATTAAAGGCCAGGTCAGATTCACTTTATGATAAAGTTGGGTGACGAGCGGTTTATATATTTACCATTCCAGCTAAAACCTTGCAGAGTGTCTCTCAGTAATTTACAGTCTCTGTTGAATTCCCAAGCATCGTGTACAACTTCATTTAATTTTTCATCTTCATTTTCTCCTGTAAAAAGGACAAGAATTGATTTCTCCGATTACATTTTTTGTATACATCTACAGAGTGCAGGGGGACTTTAGGTTGCCAGGCAGCACATCCAGGATCTTAAATTATTTATTTCTGAACACCAGTTTTACATATTTATGTCACTGTATTAAATATAAAAGAGACTTAGCAGTAGCTAAGTGCAATTACTCTCTCTTGAAGCAAACATATATTGAAAGACCATGGAGGTTGAAAGAATATGGATTCTGCCGCTACATAAAAAAAAATCATCATTAGCAGTATAAGAAGATGTTTATTACTTTCCTTTCCGTTGGAAGGGTCCCATCTGTGTGTCAGACAAAGTGTCACCTGCTGGGTGCTGTGGTTCTTTCAAACAGCCGTTATGTTACTACTGTGTTCTGTGTCTTATTTTATATGTGCAGGGGTAGTATTTTTTTTTATGTGTATGGGGGGGGGGGGGGGGGGGGGGGGTTTTTGGCGCAG